TGAAATGATTCTTCAATCCAGTTTGCTATATTTTTTAATTTTCATAACTGTATATTATTAAACGATGCATAAAATCATAGTTTAGGTAAATATTTTGTGATCTATCGACTTTGTGTACTGATTTTAGCTATATAACTTATTTACAAACATTGTAACATGATTTTTCGTGTACATTTCATTCCATGTGGAGAATATTTCATTAATTGAAATGTTAACAATTTCATATACACTTCCATAATTGAATTGATAATTATAGGCTTCGTAAATTTTACGATTTGACAATGTTGATTACTTCTATTGTTCCTATTGGTCAATCGAACAAGAAGCGGGAATAGGGGCGTGACGTCACTACCCTACCACATTCGATGTTTAATAATTAATTACGGGAAAACTACGGTACTTAGAGAAATGAAACAAAGTGCACTATTTTTCAATTTGAAATTTCTATCAAGTGAACTATAAACCAAAAATCATGAAACAAGCCCATTCAGTACAAGTATTCTTGAACAGCCAAGTTGGTAGTTAACTTCTCAATAAGAAGACCTAACAACTTGTCTCTGGATTCCTGGCCATATTGACCTGGAAGGTAATGAAGCTGTTGACTCCCTTGCAAGGGTGAGTACTGCAAGTAGTTTCATTCAACCAGCACCTAGGCCATTGGCATTGCTTTGCCTAATAAATAGTGAATACCTGAAGAGGTTCAGACTTCTGACAAAATACAAGGCTTTTACATCCTTCGAAGTTGATTACCAAATACTTGTTCGATTATAGATAGGCCTACCTGATAGCCAGTTATCTAAATCATCATATGAAGGGACTTGGACTTTCGGAAGACAGTGTGGGTTTTCTTTTTTTTATGTGGTGTCTTCTTATGCCAGCATCATTTTCTTGCTCTTTTCCAGATAAAGTGGGTACATCGCAAGACAGTCAAGACGAGGATCTGGTTCCCAAGAAACCCGTCGAGTGCTTGGTTTGCTCCGAACTCTCTGAAGAAAATGTTCGACTCGAGCCATGCAACCACAAACCGGCCTGCGAAGACTGCTCGTCGCGTATGAAAAAATGTTTGCAGTGTAGTCAGATCGTACTGAAGCGCATCACCAAGGACGGCAGAGTAATTCCGGCAAAAAGTCGACAGCCCAGTGCTGAGCGCATGAGATATTTGGAGTGCAAGATAGCAGAGATCGAGGAAAGTCACGCTTGCGGTATCTGCATGGAGAGGAAGCGGAATGTGGTGTTTCTGTGTGGACACAGCACTTGTTCGAGATGTGCCGATACGTTGAAAATATGTCACATGTGTCGCAAGACCATTACCAAAAAAATTCCTATTTATTAATGGTTTTGCTAGGGTTTGAGTCAATGGCTAGAATTTGCTTTGGTTTGTAACGTACAAAGTGTTGGCGATAATTTTTTACCATTTCATATCGACCAGTTTGTATCCACTCCGTTTGTTACATGAAGGAATTCTCTTGTGATATTTTGCATTTTACTTGAACATGCTAAATATAATGAATTATTATTTAATAATAACTATTTAGACAAACGTGTTTTTTTTAGTTGTCAAGTTTGTCACTATGGAAAAATTAGTTGAAGCTGCTGATTCTACAAGTTTCTTGATGAAGAGAACTTGGATCTTAACACTTGAAGACTAAGGCAAAAGTACTGTTATATACGGACTGTAACCTCTATATAGATTATTTCAGATACATGGGTTTACAGATGAGTTCCCAAAATAAAATATTTAGTTCAAGAGTTTATCATCCAACATGAAACAGCTCTGTTTCGACCCGCCATAGATATCATCAGTGACCCGAGATAGATCTCAGGCTGAACCACAAATGCATTGCTGTATTTCCTTAAAAACAAGCCAGAACAAGTGATGATCTCTCTCCCTACGAATACGCCATTTACCAGATCGACCGTGAACTCAATCCACTGATATCCAAGACAAATTAGAATTCCCAATGCAGTCACTTGCAGCTTCCAAGTCGACCGACTGTGAAAAGCAGTGAATGACAGAGAAGACTCGTTCTCTTTCTTTCACTGCCTTTTCGTGAAAGTTTGACTTGTCGACAGACCGCCTTGGGGAGCCTCCTGTATCTTTGATATTCCAGGATTGGGTTCTCGATCGATCACATACATGGCGTCCTCATTTACGTGGATTATTTATGTGGATTAATAGCTTCGCAATATGATGTAATTGATTGGGATACTGAAAACAACCTCGTTAGCTCGTACAAGTTTCAGCTTCTGACGATTGTTTTTAATGAGGGGGTAACAACCGTTTGACAGAAAGATACATTCTAATATTTTTACCGAAATATTGAGCAGAAACGTTATTGCAGTTATTTGGAAAAAAAATTGCCTGAAGCGCCATCTTTCTTCGGGTGACCGAATGCCACAAAAATAGTTTCTTCTATTGATCACAAGATGTCAATGCTTGGAAGTCGGACAATGATCAAAAGATAGCTTTATTTGAAGACTTCAAACAACGATCATAGCATGATGATTTCTTCTACTTTCAACCAGAAGATGTCGACTTTGAATACAACGTAGAAGTATGTACTAACAGAGTCTATATACAATGCTAACAGCAATGTCTAAATCCTTGGACAATGCTAACAGGTTGTTTTGATTCTAAGAACGGTTGTGTGAAAGAATAAATTCCTAGTAGTGACACCTATCAGGGAGTAGACTAACTATATTTTACGTGATGAAAGAAAACTTTCAAGTTGATTAAAATCCGTTTCCTAATAAGAGAAAAAATATATTTTTGCAGTGAAACAGTTTCTACCTTAATGGAAGTGTTTCTGAAAATCGTAAATATAACACAGAAACTCAAAACAAAATTTCCTGCATTTGCAATTGGCATTACAACTGAAAGAGTCGTCCTTCAATTTTGGAACGGGCACACTTGCAGACCGGTTTCGGGCTTATTAGCCACCTATCAGTACAAGATAGTGGCCATCATCGACCTTAATTTAATGATATTTCATTATTGAAATTCGGAATTCTTTCAGAGTATTTCATTCCTCTTCCTAAGTTGGAGCGAACAACAAAATGTCACTCCATCTTGTGGACGAGGTACTAACTAACTGCATATCCGTAATTTGCCCGATTCCTCTGAATAAAAAAGAAAAACTTTCCTATTAGTCAGTGGGCTAAGCTTGAAGACTGACAGTAAACAAATCTAAAGAAATGAACTTTTAACGTTCAAGCCAGTCTCGAATATAGGTTGAATGAACTGACGCCCATCAGAAAACAACTACTCCCCTGGCTAATACCACGAAGGGCGTTGGATTATATCCGACAGGCGTCAGTGCAGGAATCTTCACAGAAAATTTCCTGCATATGCAATTGGCAATACAACTTTGTTGGTTATAGAGTTTATTTATGAAAGATGAATACAATCTGCTTACTTTTCACATGTGGAATTTTGCCAAAAAATTCTCGACTTTAGACTTTTTCGGTGAGATTGAATAGAATTTAAAATAATGTCACATTCATTTGATAGATGGCACCAAGAGTTCATCAACTGTCACTTGATTCGATGCACTTGAAATCTGAATGTTGCTTACTTATGAAAAAAAATGTTGATTTACAATTAAAATTAGATCTAATGCACTAGCATTCCAATATGACCTGTGACTTTTTATATTGGTGATCAGTTGGAAACGTCAAAACAAAATGAACATAATTCGATTCTCGCATCATCTATCAACATAATCAAAAAGTTGTTCCTGTACCATGATTAGAGACAATGATGAAAGGCTCCTTCATGCTTACTCAAGTATACATTTTTGTTGTGAATCGCAAATCTCAGGATGAGCATCGCATTGAGCTGCACATTTTCATGTGAATAGTTTTTTATCTACGGTCTGCTGTCATTTTCTTTGATTAATGAAAATCATAACTTGAAAGTTGTTTTGTATTTAGTTTATGATAAAGAACACACAGAATTAAAACGGTTTTGAGTTTCAAGTCCAAAAGAATGACGGGAAAACTGATATATAATGTCTATCGAGTTAGAGTAAGTTTTCTATTGTGATATTGAACGACTTCACAATTTCTGTTCCATCAGTAACAAACCGCAAATTACACAAAAATAGTTGAATTGATTGACATTTTTTTGAAATGTTTCCTTAAAGAGATGGAGTGAAAGAATAGCATTTTGCTACACTCCGTCATGTTAAATATACGAGGGGGGTCTGAAAAGTTCCCGGCCTAACAAAGATACAGCTTGTCAAATGTAGAAAGAACTTTCTGAATTCCGTTATGGTCCCGTCTACTAGATGTGCGTTCGTTAGAACGGATTTTTTGCCCCCAAACTACGCCAACACAGCGTTGGTGATGTTCCTTCGAATACGTTCATGGTATAACGTGAGCAAACGCGGCACCCAGCATACGGACAGCTTTCTCAGGCTTGAATGTTGAAATACTATGTTCTTTTGACATGTTCATAATCTCTGATATCTCTCTTTTTAATTCGGCTGTCTTCTAGCACCATTTGGTGAGCTTTGGCGATGTTGTTTTCGTCGGTAGTTGCAGTTATTGGACGTCCCGAACGTGCAATGTCTCCCAAACTCCTACGGCCCCCCATGCCCCCTCCCACGTTGAGTGCCCTGAGTAGAAATCTCCCCCACACGGTTAATGTGTGCAGAACATCCCATCCCCCGCTCCTCCGGAGCGGTCCTCAACTTACTGGTGGGCACTTCAGCAAGATTGACATCTGACTTTCTTTGGTCAAAAGTTTGCCTCTGTTGAATTGTTTTATCATGCCTTTCCTAACTAACTAATCGGAGACGAGGGTCTTTAGTCCCGAACAAATCTATTGGTTCTAAGTGGTGAATTTGAAAGTAAGATCAATTTGACGTCTGGTTACGAAATTTTTATTTCGCCTGACAGCGACTCTCGGAGGTGGTCTTTGGTTCTGCTTCGTTGGCCTCCTGTGTTTGTCCCTCTCTCGGAATCTGGGGTCATTCCTATTCAGTGCGTTATGTAGGTCGCACTCTTACGGCAACGCTCAAATCCAGCTGCCCAAAATTTCACTGTGGTAAATGATTTGGCAGAGTTCCTATACACAGATTCTAACTCATCTTCGATTTGCGTAGGCGTATTGCCTTTCAAAAACAAATATTTAATGATAGGTCGTTACTTGATTTTGTCCATTTTCATAAAAACACATCAACTCACTCAAACGACTTTTACATAACAACTGCGCGTTCAAAATGGCTGAAACTTTGATAATTAATTGTCAACAGATGAACAACGAATTTCACTAGCTTTTATTTACGTGTGCTGCCATCTTCATGTTGAAGTAAGAAATTTTTCGTAGGCCATTAATTGCCTGTTCAAGAATTTGAATATCGATTGATTTGGACGAATTAGGCCGGTATAAGCACATAACTACACGGACAACCCCAAACAAATACTTCCCTCTTATTACTCGAAACCTAAAATTATAGACCATTCACTCACAGTCAAATATAAATTAGTAATTTTTTCCTCTATTGCTTTCCCTCTCGTTTACTTAGTTTCACTTTCTGCGTGCGTACGGGCCGATAACCTAGCTGGGGTGAAACGACAATCGACCCCTTGTTGCTTCCCCTCCGTAGCCCCCACCCCGTACCTGGAGCGGTGGTGGGGGGTGGCGGCCATTGCGAAACGGGCGGGAGAATGTTGTCGTTCACCCCGCGCCGACTATAATTTAAGACTATCTTTGTAGCAAATGAATATGTTTTTATGTATTCAAATTCGTCCAAGAAAATCGCATTAGAATCTTGTTTCCTCTGAAGATAAAAATGTTTTGCATTAATTGTTGCGCAGAATTGTTTTAATTATATTACGGATAATAAACATAAGCGTAAGCTCGTGTAATAACTGAATAGGCAGGTGAACGCACCCCCTGGAGAAAAAATAAAGATTTGTTTTGCCTGGTTCATTAGAGTTATGTTTTGTGGAAAGAAATAGTTTTCATGCACCTTTATAGTTTCTCAAACATTTGTGAAAAAAAAACCTTTACGCTTTCTACTTTTCCATCGATGTGAAGTGGGTAACCTTTGAAGAAAGGAAGAAAAATCAATACGAAACAACTACTTTCATTTCTCCATCTTTATACAAAAAATGTGGGAATCTTCCAAAGAAAGGGACGAAGCAATCAATTTCCAAAATTAACTATGTACAAAGATATGTAGATCATGCAAAGAAGTTACTTTCAGACACAAAATGGAAGAAAAAGTCCCCTCGAAACAGCTACTTTCATATAAACATTGAAATAAATGAAAGAAAAATACTTGTATATGAACAGTTCAGTTGTTGAATTTATTCAGGAATTGAATAGAACTTCGCCCTTTATTTTCAAAAATCTTCTGTTGGTGTATTTCCTCAATCCTTGTTTTTTTATATATTTTTTGAAAATAATAAAGATGATTATTATCATTATACAAAATCACTTTTCTCTATTCCGTTTGTATCCCAAACATTTGTATGAAATCGAATCAGATATCATTCACAGGATACCTAGACACCAGGTGGATTCTATTTA